TTCAAAAGCCAAGACATCACTTTGAGGCCTAGGTATAGCTGACCCAAATGTTGGTGTATTCATTCATTTCTTATGTAAATGAAATCTGGACAATTAATAAGGAAGACCTAAAAAAAAATGATGCATTTGAATTATTGTGTTAGTGAAGAATATTAAATATACTATGGACTGCCAGAAGAACAAAATATTTGTCTTGAAAGAAGTATAGCCAGAATGCTCCTTAGAAGTGAAGATGATGAGATTTCAGTTCACATACTTTGGCCATGTTATCAGGAGGGATTAGTCCCTGGAGAAGGACATCATACTTGGTGAAGTAGAAGGTTAGAGCAGAGAGTGAGCTCATTACCATCAAAAAGTTGAGATGGGATCAGAGTGTGTCATTTGTACCCAGGATTTTTACACTGAGAACCCCCTAGACCCATGAGACAGAAGAAAGACCTGTAGCATTCGAGACGGTGCGAGACATCGAGAAGCAGCGGCAGAGAAGCAGCAGCAGCAGAACCTGGAGACCAGTCATAATGGCCCAGTGGGCTTTCTGGTCCCATGAGTAAGGTGGTTACAGTTTGTGTGCCTATCCACAAAAGCAAGAGAACTGAGAGTTTTCAGACTTCCTTAAGGAGTGGAGTCCCTCTGGGCACGTGTGTTGACAGAACTAGGCTTGCCAACTAACTGAGCATGAGCGTTGAGTGCCTTTGTGTCAGGGCTTACTGATGGAGTGGGGTACCCCCAGGGCACTTATGGGAATAGCTAAGGAGTTTTGAGCAGAAGCCAACCTGGCCCAAGATGCCTCTGAGGGTCTGCTTGTGAGAATAGCTGAGACATTATTCTGTCCAAAGAACTGTATCCCGAGTTGATTCTGATCCTGCATCGTAACCTGTTACATCCCTTATTAAATCCCATAGCTGTAAGTATGGTCAGTGAATTATCAAACCCAGAAAAGTAGCATGTGCAATGGAAGTGATAGCTAATGTCCAAGTTGGTAAAATAACGTTTGGAGTGAGGAGGCTGTTCATCTTGATGATTTTCCTTCCCTTTTATGAAGTTAGAAGTCAGACGCCCTGGTCATGCTATTTTCAACTAGCAAAAGGCCAGTTCTTCTCAGTCTCCATTTATCCAGATGCCAGGTTCTCCAGTGATGTCGGGTTACTACAGTGTAAGAAGATCTTTCTTATCTGACTCAGACTTCCACAATGCTAAATTGTTTTCAAGTGACGGCTACACCTCAAGTGTGGCTAAGCCCTTTTCCTGTGAGTCCTCAAGCGGGCAGAGCTACCCCGGCATCCTGGGTTCCTACCTCACAGAGCCCTACGGAGACTACTGGCCACCGGCCCTGACTCCCAACACCAGCTCCGCGTTCAGTGCCTCCCCGCTGTCGCCTCTCCTGCCACCTCCCTTCCCCAGCGACCCCACACACTTTGTACTTAGGGACTCATGGGAGCAGACAGTGCCTGATGGTCTCAGCCAGCTGGACCCCCTGTCCGCAGATGTTCTGCAGACATTGCCACCCAGCACGAGTTGCCTGTCACAGCTGGAGTCAGGGAGCATCACCCAACACAGGAGCTCAAGCCGGGGAGCCACCCTGCCTGGCACTCAGTCTTACCCACTACATGGGATGGAGGAGCTGAACCACACACTGGAGTACCCAACCCCACCCCTCTACTCCCTCATTCCTTTCATGATGGTGGCAAATGACCTAACGCCCAAGGTGGTGCCACTTTCAACCGATGAGGGGGCACACAT